GTAATAATTTTGCAATATTTTTAGCGAAAAGTTAAAGAATATTTTTAATATATTTTTTAGAGAAATATAAAATTTTCGAAAAAATGATCAGCCTTTGGAAAACAGTCAATAGAGCTTAAATTTTAAACTGTTTACAAAATTTACAACAAATTATTTCTAATTATTGGAATTATACCAAGTGAAAATTGTTTTCTCATTTACAGATTGAAAATTTGTTTTGCTTGGGTTCGCCGTTGTCCGTATTTTTAGCTCTGCGCACTCGTACTCCATCCAACAGATTAGATGTGATGCCGCAAAGTTTATGTAAAAGATTCTATAACATATTTCACTGGTCCGACCCAGTGGCTTATAGAATGGAACCGCTTTTGGAGAGAGGTTACAGTAAAATCGAGCCAGTTCTAATACCACCATACGGAGGAATTGATGGTCAGCAAATACCACAATCGCCTTCATCACTGAATAACGTTGATCCGACTCTACCGCCAACAGGTATTTTATTTATCAGTCTATTCTTAAGATATTTAAATACCTTTTATGACATGTTTTGAAGTTTGAAATATAAAGTCTAACTAATTTTATGTTTTTTAATACGATATTTTTGTATTTTCGACTTTGTCTATCATCTAATTCGTATTTGTCTTCTAAAATATCAATATATAATTAACAATTTTGTATATAAACTTGTATTAATACTTTTACATAGACATATATTACTATACAATAAACATTCAGTTCACAATTGATCTAAATTAAAATGAGACAAGTAATGAGAAAGTATCTGCATTTTTAAACTGTATATACAGATCAAATTAATCATAACATTTTAACAAAAGTGGGTTATCATAATAATTTTCATGTAAAATACCAATAAACTAAAATGTTTCATATTTGCAGAATTGACACAAAGAATATGTATTCTATATAGGGATTAATTCTTAGTTCTTCAAAAAAATATTTGTGATTTTCTCCTTAATTTGATATTGATTTTCTCCTTGAAAATATAACGACTTTCAAAAATCTGAACTAACAATAAGAGTATTTAAAATAGTATAAAGTTAACGAATTTAACACACACAGGTCAACTAAATTAAATGAACAAAATTTTTAATATTTAATATAGAATTATTATATGTATCAATAGAAAATGATGATAAAGATGATAGTCCAGTGGATAGTCCACCCAATCGTAATGCAGAGAAGAGCTGGAGTCTTTGGGATTTAGTACGAGGTGGTTGGAACATTAGAGAAGGTCCATCTTCGCCAACACCAGATTCAAATCCACCAATCCGTCCAGGTCAAGGTAATTCTATACACATTATTACAATGTATAGAAACCTTCTCTGCATCATAAATTATTTACAAATATTTTTTGCGTCATTAGAATTAGCACAACGATTGGATTATGTGCTTCGTGCGGTTGGCTTAGGAAGAAATTATTTGTATACTGTAACAGCACATACGGCATATTGGAATAACTACGATGTAGCCTATTTCGTATTAACAAGACTTTTTCCAACGCTGGAAACTTGATGGCGGTTTAAACAGTTTAATGCAGAGTCCCAACAATTTCTGCTAAGATGCTCTAGTCCATTGTAGGCCTTCTCTAGAACGTGATATCGCAAATAGGTCTGCTACCAAAACAATCTGTGATAACGGAAAAATGATACAATAATGTTGCGAATTCTATGAAAACCGATCATTTTATATAATTGTATAATTTAGTAATCGCTCTGCATCAAGTTACATGAGACGAACGTTGTCTTTACTCGTTTTGGAAAATAATTGTTTGTACTAAAATTAGGTAATTGATATTTGTACATAACATAATAAATTCTGTATCATACAGAAGTGCATGGAAGAAAATGATAAATTTTATGAAATTTTATGTTACTATCTAATAGATATAGTATATGAATATGCTAGATATTTATTAAGTATAATATTTTGTAAAACTCTCTATAACTTGTTGTGACACTGCAAGCTGTTTTCAAATAATACATTCTACAACAAGCTGTTACTTAAAGTCTGAAGCCGTAAAAAATTGATCAATCATAGTCGAATGTGAAAAGAATAATTGATTACGATTGGTCAATCTCTTATACCTTAAGACTTAAAAGCTTAGATAATGGTTTGTTGTAGAAAATTTACAACTGACACATTAGTTTGATAACTAATGTATTCTTTATTATATGTTGATTGCCTTTGTTATTGCCATATGTATAAATAATATTTTAAGATTAGCGCCAAATACGCTAAATATATTATTGATCTTACAATGAAGTAAGATATTGTGATGCTTACGAATTTTTCTTACATGTATATTTGTTGTTATTCGATTTATGAATGTATACTCAGAAGTATTCATATAATGTAGAATAATGCAAAAACATGAGACATCATATAACACAGGTTTTTAAATAATATATAATTTAAAATACAGTATACAAGTATTTTGGTATAGCTTTATATCTCTCTAATTCATACTTTTAATTTAATAACTAGTAATTTAATTAGTAATTTAATAACAAATATTATATAATTGTGTTCCTTCATATTGTTTTAAAGAACTTATGGAAGCGTAAAATACTCTTATGAATTCCATTAAGGAACTCCTGAGTATAGTCGCCATTATATTGGGTCATAAGACAGAAATAATACGTTGAAATTTTTTGTATGCCATTTATAAATAAATTTGGATAAAATATGTAATCGTTTTAAAATACTTAAACTATTCTTTCTCCCTCTGACGGGAAATAATCGTAAAAGGCATGTGAGATCCTAGAACATATATTAAGTGTAGTAAAAAGAAATCCATTATTTTTGCATGAAATTGAATGGAAAAATAATGGATTTCTTTTTACTACACCTAATATAAATGGAAGGAGAATTGTCCATGCTGCTCATATTGAGTTTAAAATCAACATTTGTGCGAGAGAGAAAGCTAGAGAGTCCCAAATGCGCTTCCCCAGGCTGTCGTCTGTGTGAGTTGTACATTTGTTTAGAGTTCCTCACATTAACAACAAAATAAAACGGAAGAAAACGGAATGACACATGTAAATTATAGTCAATTGGAACTAGTCAATTGGAGCTTTCTGAATTCTCGTAGTAGATGTTAGCTTCAGAGAGTAGCGATCATGTAACTTTTTCTCCAAGACGGAAACATGAAAAATGAACATTTTTTTGTACATAAAAATTTTCACTTTTCACGTTTCCGCTCTAAAGAAAAAGTTAGACGATTGTTACTCAGGTTCAATACTCAATTCTTCTTCCGTTTATATAGGTATATGTTTTAAGTGTAAAGTATGTTTACCAGCGTTTTTATTTAATGCGCATGCGTAGCCTATTTTCATCTTATGACTATTTACTGTCAGGGGAGATAAGAATTTCTTTCATTTTTTATGTTAAAGCGATCTCATTATTTTGTTTGTTTCAAATTTTCTTCATTTATAAATAGCATGCAAAAAACTTCAATGTATTATTATATTTCTCTTGTGACATCACGGATTCAATGTGGTTGCAGTAATTATTCAGAAATTTAGTAGAATGCGGTCCGTTTTGCGCTTACAACACTTTTAAGCACTAACAATAACTTAGTTAATCATTTGTCCTTGTTTAATATTTAGAGTCCGATCGAAATTTGATTTTGGTTTCGGTCAGTTTCGGTAAAAAAATCAGGATTTTTGATTTCGGTTTTGGCTGAAATCAAAAATCCTGATTTTTATTATTAAGAGAAAATTTCGATAGATAAATCGAAACTGTACAAGTTGCAACACGCCAGTGAACGTTTAAAAAATAACTGTTCGATTTTAATATTTTTAATTATTAACTCGTGATTAAGCTTAAGACAATTTGAATACAAACTTTGATGTGATTCCTAATAATAACTGATTTGATTCTGTAAAAGTTCAGGATGTAATATTATTATATTATTATAGTTAAATATTTTGATAAAATCTTGTTTTTTAAAAAATAAATGATTTCTGAAAATCATGCAGTTTCTATAAAATTAATAAAAAAAATGTCGATTTCGATTCCGGTCAAAAAAAATGTCAGCTTCTCTTTCTCTATCTCTCTTTCCCTCTCTCTCTCTCTCTCTCTCTCTCTCTCTCTCTCTCTCTCTCTCTTTTAAGACTTATCTAAGTTTCGGTTTCGATTTCGTTTTCGGCCGAAATTGAATGACAACCGAATATTTGTTTTCAGTTTCGGTCGGAGGCCAAAATGTAGTTTCGGTCGGACTCTATTAATATTTGGTATAGTATAACAAAGATAAATTGGTGTTTGCAGCGTGTGAGCGTGAAAATGAACCATACCCTTAATAAATAGAATTATAAAATCTTCGAACACGATGCTATAGCGAATTCTCTACAAAATATTAAGTAATTAAGTTTATAAAAGGGGCTGTTCTCCGATAAACCTGACCTTGATATATTTTGTCAAAATTATCCTGAAAAAGACTCTGAGTGACCTCCAAGGCTGTGTTCGAAAACACTTTCTAAGTACCTCCGAGTATCATTATATCCTTATTCAATATTTGGTGAACAACAAGAATAAAATAATATTTGGATGTACTTGTAGTATTTTTTAACATAGCTCAAAAAATTTTAGTTGTTATTCATTAAAGAATTATTAACAAATAAAGTTAATGTAATAAATGAGTTTAACTTTATAATTAAAATCTATGTGAAACGATCACGTAAACGCGATAGTGAATTCCGCCCTCTCTTGAGAGCTCCACCTCTGAAAAATATAATCCTAACCCAATATAATATAACCCAATCTAAAAAAATTTTGTATTGAGTATAGGCTCTCTCGATTTGAGTTAAAAATTATAAATCTAAATGGAACCTCGCTTCACATTGTAAAAGACATACTCGGAAGCGCAATAAATTTCGCCTCTGTTGTGAACTGCAATACTGAAAAATTGTTAACCACTGTTAACTGTTACTTTTTGTATGAATTGATAACTTTCCACGCGAAGCAAGATTCCACATGGATTTACAATTTTTTATAGTTGAATTCGAAAGATTTACCCATTATGCATGATTCATCGGAGAACCTGTCACATGATCCCAACCAATCAGAAATTAAACTCATTACAGCGTGAATGAGAGTCATGTGAATCACTGCAAATAAGCTCAAAACTTGATTGGCCAGATCCCCCATTTTTTTCAATCTACTCCGTATCCATAGAAATGGGAAATCTTTCTAATTCAATCAAGTAACTTTCTATGTGAAAGTAATAGTTTGGATTAGATTACTTTTTTGATAGTAGAATTTATCCGCAAGGAGAGGCGAAATCCACTACACAGAGTGACCTTTATGGTTCCTGCACATTAGAGATAGTCAAAAAATGAATTGATTTGATTTTCGCGTCGTAAATCAATTCGAATCGAATAAGAACGATTCGAATATATGATTACTAATCGAATGATTTGAATCGATTCAATCGATTCCATTCGATTTTTTTTTATTTATTATGCTACCTCGTGACGCGTATAAAAATGAATATAGATTAGTAAAATTGGTTAGAACAATCAGAGAATAATTATTTGACGTCTAATTGTCTGTTAGCCCTTAGAGCAAAGATTCAATTTGAAGTATTTTAACTGCGAAATAAAGACTGAAAGTCTTTATTTGAAATATATGAAAAATTTTATTATAAATATATAAAAAATTTTATTATAAATTTTAATATTTTTAAAATGTCAATAAAATATATAAAAAATATATAAATATGAAACATATTAACCCTCATGTTTAATATATTTTTACAATACTTCTAAAACTGCCTTAGTGGAAAAAATCGCCGAAATTATTGAAATCGTCAATGAAACGTTGAAATAAGAAATGAAAATGACTGACATATTGTTGAAAATATTTCAGCATAAATAATACTTTTAATATTGAAATAATATGAATTTTAAAGATAATTAATAAAAATTAATGAAGAATGCATGTAAAATGCACAAAATGCTATTTTCTAAACAATAAACTTATGAATTTATTTATTTATCTACTTATTTCCATGATGTTTAATAGATGAATTAAAATCCATGATTGAAATAATAATAGTACTAAAAAAACGTTACAATCAATGTACGTACACTCGGTATTCCTTGGTTGGTCATATTGTTTTTATCTTACAAAGAGTGTTTTCTCTTCAGTTAAATAAGATCTTATGACAAAAACATAAACTAAATATGTACATTGTAAAATATGAATACAGGATTATAATAAAATGAACTAAGGAAATTATAAACCATCTGTGTTAGTTATAGAAGGCAATTATTTGCTTATGATAGACGACCATGACAATTTTACATTTATCTTTATTAACAATAACAGAATAAATAAACTGAGCAACAAATTGATGCAAATCTCTCTTCTGGGGATCTATGGCAGCTTCTGGAGTAGGAAAACTTAAATTTATCTATGACACATGACATTGAAATCGATGTCGATTCGACGTCATTTCTCTAAGTAGCGACGAGGCATTTTAATGGTCATAAATTTCCAGCACAGTCACATAACCGAACAAAACGTATTATATGTCGCAACAAGAATCGGATGCTTTTGTAGTGAATTTAATTTTTCATTATATTCTGCGAGTATCATTAATTAAACGACTGACATTCACGCTTAACGTATTATAAAGCAATATAATAAGCGCAATCTTACGGAACTCTTGCTCGTTCGTAAAAACATAAACTCGGCGACTAGCAAAATTGATGAAATGACTCTTTTGATAAAAATTATTTCATAGTCGTAATGGAATATATATTTTGTACTAATTAATTATTGAATCAACTCAATATGATTCTCTCTAGAATTACATGTTATGTTTTTACGTACATGAACTACAACATTGGACTTTTCAGATTCAATCAAACATTTTTATACATAACTCTGAAAAAATTGTATATTTGTACATTAAGAGATATGACTATAAAATCAAAATTCAAATTTATAAATTACAAGAAGCAAAAATGTTTAAAAAAAAATCTTCAAAGGAAGTTAACGATTTAAAATTTTTATTAAGTTTCATAGATTTACGTGTGTAGTTCTAGGATTAAGAAATCATTCGAGTACTCATAAAAATATTTTTGTCCCAAAATTATTAAAAACCGTTTCTAGAAAAAAAATGTATGAATAAAATTGACAGTTTTCTATTAATGGAAAAAAATAATTAAAATAAGTAAAAATAAAATGTTATACATGTTATACATTATTGATGTATCACGAGTGTTTTCACCTACGCTTTTAACACGAATTGTTTTTTTCTAAACACGAATGTTTTCACCTACCTACCTAAAAAAGGATTAATTACGTTGCATCGTGATCCTTGCGTGAGAACGTAGTATTATGGAAGCACTATTGTTATTACCGATGTTTTATATTATCTTCGGCACTTAATATAATGTGATAAAGCAACTTATACTAGTACATATGCCGATAAAAACACATATCGAGAGTAAAAAATGTACAGAATTTAAATGAAAAATTTATAATGACGCTCAATATTACTAAAAGTTATATTTCTATTATTTCTATTTAAAGACAGTCTAGAAGAATTTTTCTATATTTTATTAAAAAGTATATATATTTTGTTTTAATAATATATAAAGTGATATAATTAATAATTTAGTTATCTTTATGTTAACGGCTTTAAATTATAACATATTAAAAATTACAATACATTTTTTGGAAAATCAAGTAAACGCGAAGAAATAAACGAATTATCTCTAAATTTTAATACAGCCAATATTACCGATAAATAAAAAAATAAATATGCTACTAAAGAACTTGATTGAACTTGATATTTTACATAGATATGATAATTAATAACCATCACCATAACTATGGAAATCAATAATCATCTCTTATAGTAGTTATAGAAAGTAATGACTTAGTATTATGACTAAGTATTACATCACGACATTTTGCACTTTACTGACAATAACAGAAGGAAGAAACTAAGCAATAAATTAATATAATTGAGTTCAGATGGATAGCTTGCATTATTGCTTATTAATACTATCTGTTGAATTCATCATGTAATTATCTACAAACAGCGGGTAAAGGCATAGGTTCGGTTATTTTATTAAACTTATAAATAAATTTTGTAGCAAGTCTTAAAAAATTTCAAAAAATTAATTAACAACTAAGTGATTGTTGCTTCGAAAAATAAGCTGCCTCGAAATGATAATTCTCTCTCTAACAGCTTCAACATAGCTTACTTTTTCAAATCATTTAATTTTCTTTACTAAAAGAAGTCTATTAAAAGCATAATATCTCACGTTGTAATTGATACCATTAGCGAACCGTAGACAATTCGATAGATCCGGATAGCTCAGTACTTCATTGTTGTTCAATGGGTAATAGAAACTCGAGTAATTAAATAAATGATCGTGTCACTCACCTTTTTTCCAGAGTAATTTTCAGTATTCCAAAATCAGAATGCTATCTATCATGCTAAATCCACCTAATGCGTAACTCCCTTCGTCATCAGGACGTGCGCTAAACTAAGATCACAAATACGCTCATCTTAACATCAAGAAAGAGAAAATGCAGGAAAGGAAGACGAAATTGCGCATCTTATGCAGATGAAAAATCTTTTGCATTTTTTAATCCACTATTTATTTTAATATATGTAAATTACAGACAGAACTCTCTACTGAAAAAAATCACTTCACACAGTTGGATGATGAAATCATGTAATTAAAACACATAAATTATGTAACGGATTATTCCAAATCATAATCATAATGACATTTTCTTTTTTCTTCTATTTCTATCATTCAATTCTTTAAAATTGACAACTATAAAAATCACATGATGGATGAAGTTAATAATTTCTAATGTGATTTTTCATATTACGTCATTTAAAAAAATCATGTACTGATTTGGAACAATCCATTATGTGATTTACATTTTAATTACACGATTTCATCATGTAACGTTGTGACATGATTTTTTTTCAGTAGGGAATGACTTCGCTCTGACATTCCTACTAGCATACAAAAATGAAAGCTGAAAAATTTAATAAATGAAAAATTTAACAGGAGAAAAGATAAATATAAAATTAAACATAATACATTTAAATTTTACACATATTACTACAATATTTCTAATAAAAATATAATTAAACGCATCGTCAGCATGTTGAGCTTGTGTTTACTTATTACATCCAGAATTTTAGTGAAATGCTCGTATCAAGGATGGAATTCAATCGTATTTTTTGGTATTAAAAATAATTCTAAAAAAATGTTTTTTGTTTTTTCAATCGAATTCGATTTTTCTCGTAAATATACAGAACACACTAAAATACGCGTGACGCATTCCAAAAAACGGTGAAAAACACCACAAACGTGACGAGATATCGCCGTGACGAAAGCGAATATAAAAAAAAAATTGATTTTTTTAGCAAAAAGTGCTATTCACAAGACTCTATTATTAGCGTGTATAGATTTAATTAAAATGGGCATATGGTTTAGTGCGATGGTGCCTGCGCATGCTTGACTTAATTGAAAATCGGGCTGCGACCCGAAAAATATTTCCAACAGTAATAAACGAACGAAATGTTCGGTCTTTGCCTATGTATGAATATACTTATGGATGAGGAAAACGTTTTGTATATATTCATAAAACAATCTATCGTTGACGAGATTAATCTCTGTCAGAGTTAGCTCGTTTCAATTAAGTAATACATCTTTTCGAGCGAACGAAGTTAGTTAGAGTGGAATACAACGGCGGCTTGTAAAAGAAAAATTTGGATTAGATTCAAGAAAGATCTTTTTATCCTTCTATCTTATTAGCGAATTTGTTTAATTTATAAGTGATGCAAGAGAATAGAAGTTGAAGAGAAAAAATAAGTGGATAAATGATGCTTGCGTAGAGAGATGCTTAAGTTTATTAATACCCATTCATTCATTTGGAATATCACAAGACACTTGATGTAATAGTCACATTAATTATACGTAGAATAAAATTGTTATACATTTCTATTAATAATCTCTCTCGATTTTGCACGTTTACATTATATTGCGAATTGTTATATTGTTTTCTCTGTTGGATGATTATTGCATTGGATGGTTGCCACCTTTCAATTAGTGTCTTGCTGGATTCCAAAGACCCATATACCGGAAATTAATGATTATTGTCGGCAACTCTCTTGTCATTTCTCTAAATAAACAGAGTCACTTTTGTGCTTTGTATCGGAAATTGCTATTACTCTACCGCAGATCTAGCACTAATTGTTCTTTACTTACGATGTAAGGATTCTAAATGATTCTAATAAAAAGTCATTGGATTTGACCGTGGAGATTTTTTTTTTTAGAACCGGAGGAAAAGATCGAGGTTATTACCTTTATACAGTATCATTTCTCATTTCCTAAGAAAAAAATCATCGAAATTTAGGATTAGAGATTTTTCTCGCCGACAGAAAACTGACGAGATGGCAACCATGGTGACTGTGTGAAAAAGTCATGAATTTTGCAAATGTATTTTGCGCACATGTCAAATGCGGCCATATTTAAACAATTGCGCCGTGGTAACTTTGAAGTAATATATCGCAAATCGCAAAAATGAATACGTGTCAAATAAAAACGTGTAAAAATGTTTACGGAAAAGAAAAATTTAAAAATGCAGTTTTATGATTTTCCAAAAGGTGGTAAAAGAAGAAACTTGTCATAATATGGAATAAGCTTTGGCACAACGCCAAATTCAAATAACCGTGGCACTATGGCGGCATCTAGTACCGCTCTTCTGATGTCAAAATGCGCAACTAGGTTTCTTCCACTATGGTTGCTATATAGCAAATATAATCTAAGAACATCCGATACGACCGTACTATTAGAAAACCCTCTACAAATCAATTTCTTGCTCTATATATACTTAGAATTAACTTGCAACATATCAAAAGAGTCGCATTTTATAAATAAATTATTTACCATGTCAGTATATGCTTACTTTAAGCAATAAGAATGCAATAAACCCATTTTTAAAGACTCATTAAGAAAGTAAGCACATTTCAAGATGTAGATCTATTAAACAAAATATATAAATAAAAGAGATGAGAGATATTTTAATGATTATTACGAATCCGAAAATAATTTAAATTTGCTATTGTAAGGTTGTACAGTTATAATGACATACATCTAAGAATGAAATGAATAAAAAAGTAAAATAATACAACATGAAGTTTCGATAGAATGCAACCTTAGCCCTAAACATCCCTAAACATTCAAGAGTACAATAATTAAGTCAGCAATATTTTTACATATATTATTTAGCCTTAGTGTAATTCTAATCAAGTTGTATGAGAATATGCGATATGTACCGACGAATACATGTATAGTTTACTTGGTCGAAGAGAATGTATGTTTACGAGTGATGTGAAGAATATTTAAACCGTTTCTATTCACAATATCGCGAGATACGGTATCGTAAATAGAAATAGTTTAAATATTCAAAATATCCATAAAATTATACATACTATTCTGAAATTTGTCCCTTTATAAAATATAATATTCGTTATACGTATACTATGTGGTTTCGTTGCTAGATATTCTTAGAAAATTCGAACGTCTTCCGTACAGATAGAATACGAAAACGTACGGATAGACTACCAATAGTCAGATATATTAACAATCAGGATCATCACTCCATGGTATTCCCGATTGTATCATCGTTACTTTCATTATATTTAGCGAAGCTTAAAACTCTCTCTTTTTCTTCAAAGCTGATAGACAGAAAGGCAGAATTTTAAGCTTTATTTAAAGTTAAAGTAACGTTGATGTAATCAGGCCTGCTTCACTCGCAATCAGTCAGAACGGATGCTTGTTACGAATGTCATTGTTAAGGCACAGAAGTTCGGGCACAATCACAGAGCACGGTGGACCGCTGTGCACGTGAGTGCTTGCTGAAGTGAGATCGCAACATTTCGTCTAGATGTATGAACTATTCAACACAAACAAAACGCACAGCAATTTTCCGCGTGCGCCCATGATCGTGCTCGAATTTCCACGCCCTAGTCGTTGTCCTATTCACATAGATAATGTTAAGATAATGGAAATTAGTTAATTATGCAAATAATCTATCTAAAATAAAACAACATGTACAGATTTCTTGAGTATAAGTGCTACTTTATCACGTATTAATGAAAATAAATTACACTTAATAATATATTGAGTAATAATTATAAATTAAAACGATCAAAAAAGAATATCAAGATTATTATCATTTTTTGGATATAAGCCGCGTTTAGGAAAGATATATAAGTCCGAATCCTCATGCAGATGATATCTGCGCTTTCACACCGATTGACGAAAAAGGAATTAACGTAGAAATAAAATTTATCCCCATTACTCTTTTTTTATCAATCATGTTCGGTATCAAAGTGCTGATATCTGAGGAACCGGGCTAAAGAAAGCTTTTGTGACTTGCAAACGTCACTCGTTATCTTTTATACGCGCGAAATTCGAATATTATGCAATAGTAGAATTTTTATCATTCGAGTGGATAATTCGCGGTATAAAAGGTATTAAATTTGGCAGCTTCAGTCTGAATAATATAAAAGCCTCCATGAGTACCCCTTAAATGAATAAGATAAATACTACTCATGTATAATATTTGTTCAGTCTGCGATTCTCTCGCCGAGAACAAGAGAATATTGCTTTCTCTAACAATAAGTTATAAATATGTAAAAAAAAATATCGATAATAAAATGTATGTTATTTCGTATAAAAGAAGAAACTATTGATGAGCAATTCCGTCCGATAGGATATTGCTTCCATAAACGCGATGCAATGGATGTTCCACTGGTGTTCTCTTTAAGAGACAAACCTTCCTGATCTAAGAATATTTTTCATATCAGAAGAGCATGATCCGTTGTGTGCAGGAATACGAATTCGTTCTCGTTCTCAAAGTGCACCGATAATCCATCAATAATTTATATTCTGAGACTTTTTTTTATTCTATCATTACGTCTATAACATGAGGTGAATATGATTAAGAATGATTAAGAATATGAAGAATAAGATATCTGTACGATTACACATAACGAAAAATTTCAATTATATCCTATTTCCGAATTTGAGAAATTTTCATCCAACGCGACTGACTTATAGCCAACTCGATTGAACGCACTAGTGGTTACTAGTAAATAATAAAGTCGTTCTACATTGATTTAATCTGTAAAAGTAAAATATAAATATTTTGAATTATAAAATACAGATTTTATTTAATAGCACAATAAAATATATTAAAGATTTTATAGTTCCGTTTTTATATTTATATTAAATAAATATTTTTATGTCAATTTGTGTACGACGACTTTAATAAGTACTGCATCAATAAGTACTAAGTGCATTCAATCGAATTTATGCTATTGTTCGCTATTAAAAAGTTGTTGAAGATCGTCACTCCTTTTATCTTTTTCGTATTCATTTGCTTACGTTTTATAAGAATATACACTCGTATAATTTATGTCGTTAATTCGATCGTTTTCTTTTCTATACTTGTGCCCCCCTATGCATTTTCTTTTCGGTAAGCTTTGCTGCCCTATAAATATGTTACAATTTGATTTACATTTATACACATACAGATAAGTCCACGTGTTTTATGGCCAGACATACGTTTGTCTCAGACATAAAGAATAACATATGTTTCTCGTTGCAAAATATTGTCATATTTTAGCATTGAGAACGAATTCACGTCGGCATATACGGATATCTACTAAATTTCTTCACCTCTCTTTAAAAAAAAAAAAAAAAAAAAAAAAAAAAAATTACTATTTTATATTTTGGCTTTACATTAATTAATTGTCATGATTAAACAGGTACTATTATATGTCCACAAAGGCATGATCTTTGATCGTCTTGCACAATCTCAATGAACATTTATCGCATTATCTTGCATAATCTCAATGAACGTTTATCGCATCTAAAATAGTCAAAGTTTAAAATAAGTTAAAGTATTTGTGTTGTGAAAATTAGCGTCCGCGGGAATTCAATGGACAATACGCGTCACACTACGCGCAAGTGCAAATTTACAGATCTACATAAACTTGCACGACGATAATAAAAGCCTTTTAATCGACCCGCCCACACTTAGGTACGATGTTTTTATTTATCCAAAAATCGCAACTCGAATAACTTTGCGCGAGCAGTGGGTCTTGACCAACAATCAAGACTCTCTTCGCGCCTGACCGATCAGCCTGTACGATTTCATTATGCCACACATAATGGTTAAATAATTGTTGCATAGCTGTTACATGTCTCTTCTCCTCGGGTGTAACAGCACCATAGGTTCCTAGAATGGCCGCGGCGTCACTGTCAGGATCGGCCAAATGCTGTCGGCGTGGTTGAATGGCTACGTAAAATGGTATGTTGGTGTTCATCCTGGCGAGCGTCAATAGCGGGCATACTACACGAATATCGGAAATCATTGTGACCAATCCCTTCAACGTAGCATTGTAGTGTCTGGAAAATAGGGGAATGATTCACTTACAAACTGCAGCAATTGCCCACTGTTAATCACAGCTACTTCTGCATAAGGAGTTTTTCTATTTTTTTTTTCTGGCGCTATGATTGACTTGTGCGCAAGTGGCTTGTATGCAACTAATATACACCCGGAAAATAGTACACACAATATGCAATATTTATTATTACTTTTGAGAAAAAGATTAAAAAATAATCTAAATACATCACATCGACCATTAATCGTAATCAGATCGCTCACCTCAGAGCTTCATGTGTATAGCCTCTAGTTCCAAGCAAAGATTCTCGTACGAGATTTTCGACTTGTGTCGCATTAAGAGTGACATTTGATGACAGGTATTGCAGCGGGGTACCGGAGTGCGCGGTGGTACCCATCACTACCTTTATCATAAGATTGTCCTTCGACAAAATTTCACCGACATGCTCCTGAAGAATCGTTCCGTCCAAAACGAGCCACTCATGTCTCCTTTCCATGTAGATGCTCGAGTCTTCTTTCATTTCTGGCAGACCAACAGTACCTACGTACCACGACTCTGGCACAGCATCCATCAGATCTTCGGCACTCTTGCTTCTGAGACAGGCAGCGTCGCTGCAACGAATTGAATCAAGGAATGGTCGGTTTATGTCTTCAGATAAATTTAATTCCCTGCCTGGGAAGATCGCGCTACCGCTGGATATCCACACTTTCGAGAAAAGGCTCTTAGCTCGACGATAGCCGATCAATGTCGTTGCAAGAGTACCGCCTGCTCGATGTCCCCACAGAGTAACGGAGGATTTGTTACCGCCGAAGTTTTCAATATTTAACTGTATCCACTGAAGAGCTGTTATGATATCTGACAATCCATAGTTGCCCGATGTTGGAGGGTGGGTCGCTCTGGTGAGAGGTTCGACCGCCAAAAATCCGAAAATTCCCATTCTGGGGAATGTAATAAATATTTTTATTATAAAATATTTTTAATTATAACAGAGTTGTTATAGAGTGAAAAAAAAAAAATTTCCCTGACTTTACCTAATTTTCCCTGTCATTTTTTGAAAAAAATTCTCTCTAACTAAAATCTTAAAGATTCTTTGAATAAAAACAAAGAAAAATATTAAAATATTTTATTTTATAAACAGAACAATAAAAAAATATATTCAAAGAATTATTTACCATAAAGAACAATGTTACAAATGTAAATAATAATATGATTTGCAGTGAGCGTGTTGCAAATATTAAATGGAATATACTACTGATACGTTGAGTTAAACAAAAAAAATTTTTTTTTAATTACAAGAAACGAGGGACATACACGTATCTTTGTTTTACACATTGCTTATTGAGATTTTTGTCTATATTTGTAGTCAGATCTTATATTCAAAGCTTCCTCAAATTTATAAACTATATTCTTTAGATGCTCAATAGCCAATAAAATAATTTGTAGAGCATCTAAAGATAAATTTAAGGAAACCTTAAATATGTGATTTGACTAATACAGGTATTAATTATTTCATTAAAACACTATGGTCTAATTATCATTTTAATTAATTTTAATTAGAAATGATTTACGAATGTTCATCATTAATACATCATTAATACATATTTTGACTTTTGCAAAATTAAGTTTTTTTCTTTTTGACAATGTCTGTTAATAATTTTCTGCAAATTGTTCATTGCAAAATTAAAAATAAAAAAATATTTGCATTGCTTTTTTAAAAAATTTTAAAAATTCTATTTCATAATTTTTAAAAAAGTTTAAACTTAAAATTTTATAATAATTTAATTTTGTCTTAGATTAATAAATTTCTCGATAATAATTTTCCTGACTTTTCCTGGTTTTTTTCATCAGTTCTTCCTGAATACTTTTTAATTTCACTGATTTTCACTGATTTTCCCTGATTTTCCTGATCGCAATTCTGTATAAGCTATATTCTTAATTATAAATATTTATTAACTCCAGATTATCTCTGGATTTGGGAAACGAGCAAAAATGTCATTCAGGTAACAATAGTTTCTTTGCATCATAGAATTAATAAAACAAACGACTAGGAGTCTCTTAAGGAAACTCCAAAATCATCTGTTTTTTATCGACTAAACGTATACTTTTTTATGATATATTTGTGTACACATGCACGCACGCACGCAAGCACGCACGCACGTACACATGTGTGTGTGTATATATATATATGTATATATGTATATGTATATAATAATATATATATGTATATGTATATGTATACGTTTAAGAAGAAAAAATTTTGATTGAAAAAGGCAAGAATATATTATAATAAGTTCAATGTATACTACCGGAAGTTTGGCCGTACGAATACGATATCGCGAACGCGTGACAGCTTGGCAGAAGGTTGCATCACTCCGGGCGAACCACCACTCAAGGTTTCGGCGCCGATCATTACGACCACGGGTAACGGAAAATCATATCCAACCATTGGTGTAAATACATCAAGATAGAGACAATCCTCGACGCCGTCGATGAGACCATGTATATCACGCTGCCAACAGCTCTTGGACGAGTTGTGCGCCAAATAAGTGCCGTTCCAGCAGTGCTCGATGCGGCTCAAAGATTCAGCTGGTTGCCAGCGACGATTGCCCATCGGTGGCATTGCATATGGAATACCACGGAATGCGTAGGCGCCATCCTCTAAGATACCTTGCACCAGTCCGCAAGACGTCACTGCTTCGACATATTTGTCGTTCTTCAAAGGTTTGGTAGAAATTCTCCTAGGTCCGACGCAGACGATACATATAATAACGATGATGCCGACCAGCATCAGCAAAGTCGCCACTATATAAATCGATTTAAATATATCAATTTTACAATAACAATTAATACGAATAAATATAAATTATTAAATATAAATTATTAAATTATTAAATATTGCGAGAAAATTTAAATTTTGTATCTTCATACCTGAGACGGATACGTGTGTCCTGTATGTAGATAGATAGATCACTAGGGGATGCTTTGGTCGCTTAATGCTGTCTTCATCTTCTTCATCAAGTCGCACAGTTTCCATGCCATCCTCATCGACGATAGGCCTCTTTTCAGAAACGCCATCGTCGAGTGTTTCGACACTCGCTAATCCAGCAGTACCGGTTGGTCCTAATTCGGTATCGATTTCCTAAAAAGGAAATATTATAGCAACTTATTCTCTAAATTCTCTGGACTGGAACCTCACTCTACAGAATAAAAAATTGAATTAGTTTAAAAAAAAGCTCAAATTTTAATTTGTAAAAGGGAACTTTCACTCTTCAGAATGATAATTTGCTCTAAAAATTTTAGAGAAAAGAAAAATAGATTAATTTGTTATAATATCAATATTATATTTTCCATTCTGTTTATCTAATCTAAATATTAGGTAAGGGAAAAAGTTGGTAGCGTTTTTTCCGTTAGATGGCATTAAAAAACGCCATGAATTTTTTTTCATACCTAATATACAGGTTGTTCTGTCATGAAATCAACAAGCTTTGCTAGCGTGTGCGAATGATCTAACAAGTAAAACAGTTTATATACAGAGTGTCTCTGCAGTGCCAAACTGTTACAACGGCTTTAACATATAAAAACAAGTTTCGAGATTAAAATAAGAAAACATGAATCGTAATAAATGTTGTTTAATGTTCGTTTTTCTGTTCTAAATCTTGAATTTTTTTCTGATAGACTACATCTTTCATTCGTTCCCAAAATATAAACAAATACACGTTTTTCCATGATCACTATTTTCATTGGATTGGAAAAGACCAGGACACGCTCCTAGTAAATGGCCAGCGAGAAGTCCTGATCTCACATCCATTTATCTGCTTTTCACGTTTTTCTACTCCCATCACTCAGCAGTTCATTTTATACGTCGATGGTTTTAATCGATAGGCTATGAATGTAGTATCGTAGACAATGTGTATTCATAGAATCCAATATTCCTTATTCTGAACAAATAAGAGTGATATAGACAATATATATATAACGTGACCGTTCAAATTGTGGAGGCCATTGAACTCTGTCTGCAAGAGTAGGCAGTGCGACGGGTTATTCTATCGCCTGACATAAGTGCTCACTGGACATGGTTGCTTCGATATACCAAAATAGAAGAGGAATGTCGCTGGACACATAGGAAAGCGCAGTATCACCATTGTGCGACTTCGCGCAGTATATTTTAGAGATATGCCAAGATAGATAAGATATAACGCAGACTATAAAGTCTTGGTCATAGTGGTAAAAGAGGACCTTTCAACAATATGTGTGTGGGAAGATTTCGATAGCACACATTAATTGGCCAATTTAAGGGAGTGACTATTGGAGTGACAGTTGAACTTGATCGATATCGATACTACAGATTTTTCTAATTCCAAATTTAAAAAGTCAATAATAGTGACATGTGTTTAATTCATTTCTTATATTATCGTTCTGTCTCATTCAAACGCATGTCCTTATCTAACATATTGCAATGCCATCTTTTGCAAGAACAACTATTGCTAGACACAATGACTGTTGTAGACACAATGCGCAAGAAAAACGTATACAATAACTTTTTTAGCGTTTTGCAAAACGCTAAAATAGCGTACTACTTGGAATTTTTCATTGGAAAATTTTAGAAAATATCTCTAGGCATAAAAGACACTTACTTTTTTTCTTCTGGAGAAAACGGACGACATCAAAGGTATCCGAATGGAATTCAAAATTCCCCTTCGTCCTTCCTTTTCCTTAGAATCTTTAATGGGTATAGGCTTTTCCGTGGACAAAGTGTTCTGCTCGCTTTCCTTTACCACCACGGAAGCTGATTCTGCATCCGTAGATTCCGTCGGTTTAGCCACATCATTCTAAAATCGATCGAATATACTGAAGTAATTAATACACGCCAATAAATAGGAAAAATTAATTTTTTTATGTCTGCTTCTTTAAAGATACGATAATGATATTAGACTCGTTTCTTCGAATCTTAATTTCTTCCTTAGACAAAGTATTGTTTAAAGAAAAAAAACAGTATGGCAGGTATAATTAGAAAAAACAAATCATTGTTTCGAAAATAATTTTATTCTAATCTGAAGAATAGTGAGATAAACTCTCTTTTTTTCTTTATACCCTGCACTTAAAAAATAAAGTGGAATAAATTTAAAAAAAAAAATAAAAAAGGTGCTAATAGTTCGTGCTCCATGAAAAAAAATTTATTATATAAAACTCAAGTGGTACTATTTTTAGTGTACATACACACCAATTTACTGCTAAGAGATACGAAGCATTAATAATTTACAATGGTGCTAACTTTACTTCCTTTATTGGCAGTAACTGAATCTATTTTCGAACGCACTTCACATTGTATATACATATGTATTGTAATTTTTTTAATTGTATTATAATGTGATTTTTAATATAAACCATACTAATTATTTTGCATAAAAAATAATTAAATTAAACTATAGAAGAATTAATAACAAGAATAGTATTGTACATTTGAATTTTATTCAATAAAATTAAATAAAAAATAAAAATAGCACTACATGAATTTTACTTTTTAATTTGACACAATAAGAATAATACTGTGTTTTGTAATTTAATACAATAAAAATAATACCACTTGGGTTTACTTTTAAATTTGGTAATAGCAACTGCAATTATCCGCGCGATCACTAATGACGCAGCAAAAGATAATACAATATCTAAAAGGATTTAACATTGCATTTTCTACACTTACTAAAATGAGGCACATACGAAGCACATAAAAAAAATACAATATTAATATCTAAAAAGCGCGAAAGATAGGATAAGATGAAACGCACTCAATAATAAACTAAATCGAAATGTTATAATCCGTATTGCAATTTATGCTCAATTCGTTCAAATAGAATCATATAGATCCAGATAGAACTTAACGCTGTGGAAAATAATATTCAGATCAGATAAAATATCATAGTTATATATGATTGTTGAACCTCTGCGGGTTCCGGCCAGAAATTTCGACTTTTTGAACGAATATTTCCGGAGATAATAACGCTCTCCAGAGATAATAATAACTATTTTAAATTTTGATGACCTCTTGTTGAAATACGCACGTTGATTTTCCTCTGGTTCCAAAAAAAAATCTCCGACGAAAAAGTCAGATCTGACCTTTTTTTAGAGGGATTATTATGAAAGATGATAATAGTAATCGGGCATTTTTTCTCACGAACATACAAAAAAAAATATATATATATTAATTTTGCGAAAAATATATCGAATAAACATATCGTCGAACTATTGGATGTGTCGGCGTTTACGAGGTCTTTGTAATGCGTGAGAGTGGGTGGGAGAGAGATTTGGATGATAAGGTTAAGATATGCGTTGGATTGTATTGAACCGTGATGGAACATTTCGAGAGGTAGATATTAAAAGTGGGGTGAGGAGTGGTGAGGATGGAGGAAGTAAATGTGAGTGGATGAGTAAGGGTGTGTAGGCCACATCGAGTGTCGGCATGTATCGAAATCTTTGTAGTGAGTGGAAGTAAGAGATGGGAGAATTCGGGTGAATGTGGAGGGTGGAGGTGAATTAGGTATGAAACTGTGAAGGATGCTTTGAAGTGTGTATTCGAATAATAATTCTCGATTTCGCAGAGCATCGAACGACAATGACGATGACCACAACGACTTCTTAATAAAATTTTATCCTATTATGACATAAAAATTGAAATGTCTCTCTTAATATTCATCATAGAAAAAGAATAAAGATACTTTCATTACATAATGGAATTCCAAGCTATTGAGTCTATTAAAAATTTTTGCTCAGCCGATTTTTAGATATGACTATAATGATTACTGTCAACTTGATTTAAGTAAAGGTACACTGTAGTGTCTCCTGCGCCCAGTACAGGTGCGAATACTTAATGCAAGACACTATCACGTTTTGATTTAATATAATTGATATGATTCCTACGCTGTAAGCGTAGTTTTTGATGAATTTGACTTATATAAATTTAATTTGATTATATTAATTTATTTTTTGGAGTCGTTTATTTTAACGATATATTCTAATATTTTCTAACATTAAAGTTTGTATATTCGATAAAATATAACAGATATTGAAGATTTTAAGTAGACAATAGATTAACGATGATTTGAAGATGCGGCGATTTACACATTTACTTTTTAATTCTATCAACCATATTTTATACACTGAAGAGAACCCAATACCAGGGTTGAAACGTCTATATTTAATTCTAATATATACATTGTTAGCATGAATAACTAGTGTCGGCTCACATTTCCTCATTCTCTCTCTCTCTCTCTCTCTCTCTCTCTCTCTCTCTCTCTCTCTCTCTCT